GTGCTGTTGTGGTCACAAAAACACACAGTGAGGTGGCTGTAGAATCAAAATGTAACAGTTCTTTAGTTTTAAGTCACTATGATGATACACCATTAAACATTATAGTGTGCATGTAGTCACCAATACAATAAGTAATGGGAAAAATTACTTTTAAAAAGTAATCATTTAAAGTTACTTGAGCAAGGAATTACTTCTGGTAAAATGGTAAGAATTTAGGAAAAAATACTTTAAGAGGTAAATTACTTTGTTGGTAAACACATATTACATAATGTTTCAATAATCTCACAGTCTTTCCAGATATTTCATTGTCACTGTTGGCTTCACAGTGGCATGTCTAACCAAGATTCTTTGCCTTGTGTGGAAGGGTGGCCTGATCTAGCCCTCCTGTTATGTAAAAGACAGCTTTCTATTTTTGATATTCATGCCCAAAATTGGGCGGCTCATTATAACTGTTTATAGAGCAATTATAAAACATATTATCACCTAATGTTGTGTTACACCTTTTAACCAACTTCATTCTTCATCATTATAACAAGTTCTGCATTTTCTTTTTGGAACTTATGGTATATAGACCTCATTTACCTGAAGTTATACTACTGGTTTTTGAGTGACATAAGCACAATGTATGTGTTATTTTGACTACAGTAAAGACCAGAGGAAAACATGTTGAGTGATTATAAAAGTGTAGCCAAGATACTTGTTTTGAAACCATTTCAAATTTTGCAATGGTGCCACATGAACACCAGAAACACATCCGTTGTGTTTCTGGTCAAAACTAACCAAATGATTTTATTTGCAAAGAAAAGACACAGAGTAACAAATTTGTGTTCAAATGACCATTTATTTTACAAACATCACAAATTCAATCAGGTTATAAGATAAAATGAACAGTTCCATTTGTGTGTGTTTTTGTGTGTGTGTGTTCATGCACATGAGTGGCAGTGTGTGGTAATGATGGCGCTTGCCTTGCAAATGTCATGTCAAGTCATTTGCCGAATGCTTTATATCATACTGTGTCACGGGAAGCTGAAGCCTACCTGGCAAGCAACGAGCACAAGACAGGGTACACCCTGGACAGGGCGCCAGTCCATCGCAGGGCCAGTGCAAGCCGATCAGACATGGGGACAATTTGGAGGCCACAGTAAAGGCCGAGGGAGGAAATTTGGCCAAGATCTTATTGTGAATTGCCCGGGGATCTTTAATGACCACTGAGAGTCAGGACCTCGGTTTAACGGCTCATCCGAAAGACTGCACCCACTACGGTAGAGTGTCCCCGCCACTATCAAGGGGGTTTAGGACCAAGCAGCTGCTGGGGAGGTAGAGCCTTCCTGTACATCCCTCACCAAACTGGCTGAGGCTGGTGTGTGGGGAACACGTTAAAAATGTCCTGCTTTGCAACAGCTAAAATTAAACAGACCATTAGAATTATACATGGTTGTCGGTGAAGAAAAAAAAACGTAACAGTTCCAAACGGGGTGCAATGCTGCCACCTATTGACAATAGTTGTACAATGACTTGCTGCCTGGGCATTTAATCTTCTCACATAACCATAAGATCCCGAATAAAACAACCCACTTGAAAGGTGTTGAACTTACTGTGGCAATAAAATCACAGAAAACAGAAGAGTGAAATGAATGGTCAATAGAAAGGATAGAAGTCTCTAAACCAGTATGAAGCCAGGTCTCTGCACCATGAGGCATTTTTGATCAAACATTGCAAATAAACAGACTCACTTAAACAGCATATGAAAAACCTCCGTCTAAAACATTTTTTAACTTGTGATAGAAAATGTAAATTGTGCTCTTATTGTGAAAAAAAACAATAAACTTACTTGTCTAATTCCATCATGAAAACTGCCAAGAAATAAAATCTCTTTCCGTTGCAAGCATAATTAAAACCCCCAGGAGTGCCAGAGTTCCATACTGGTTTCAGATCTGTAAACTTCAGTTGGTTTCTTTTACTTTTCTCTGTCCTCAAAGTTCACCCACAGGGAATTATTCATGGTTTGAATCACACGTGCTTAAATGCCATCTTTCACTTCATCTAATAGCTGTCTATAGGCCCCAAGGTTCTTATTCATCCTTAACAGTAAAGTTTATAGATTTCATATTATAGTTAACTCCCGGTTAGGAATTGTTCCTATACCGGGAGATGTAAACATACATGTTGATGTGGAAAATGACCCCCTTGGTCATTTTCATTACTGTGTATATTGAGACTGATGTTTCAATCAACAAACCTTAGGTCAAACACACCCTTAAAGTCATGCAGTGACCTAGTTATTACACTAGACTGGCACACAGCACTGTACTATTAGTCAGCTGACTGTTATGACTCTCAAACCACTTATATCAGGCCATTATCTTATTAGGTTTGAATTGCAATAGCCCTTTTTGGCCAACAATCAAGTAAAATACATCAGAACAAGTAATAGGTTTATTCCATGCTGAAAAAAAGAAGAAAGAGAACACAACGTTTCGGCCGTGGAGCCTTCTTCAGGTGTCAAATACATCAGTCAAATACATCAGTACATGACTAAACATTCTGTCCATGGTTTAATGACATGAAAGGCTCACGCAAATTAGACTGCCAGAGTTCTGAATGTAAATGGAGAGTGACCATGTTTAAAGTTTTTAAATTGCTCGGACTTGAAAGCACCATGAAGAATAAACAAATTGTATTTTCACCCTTCTCAGTTTACCATTCAGAGAACTGATAACTTGAAAAAAATCCACAATTTCTATACAGTCCTATTAATAATCTTACACATAAATGATTGGATATACTATCACCTGTCAATTCAAATATTATTTGTATAACTTTATGGACTATT